TCTCACTTCTGGGAATCTATTTGACATATATACCCAGACCAGTACAATAATGACGTACCTTGTTATTCATTTTTTGACATTATTTGGAAGACCAATTAGCAATACCCAAGTGTCCAATAATAGGTGACTGACTAAATATAGCCACACAATAGAATGCTATGAAGCTGTGGAAAATAATGAGAAAGATCTATGTACTGATAGAGAGATACCAGACTACATAACCAAGGGAAAAAAAAAAAAAAAGATAAGTGTGTATAATATTAATCTTCTTGTGTAAGAAAGAAAGGAGAAATAGGAAAAAATACTTGTATGTTGTTAATAGTTGCAAAGGAAAACACTGAAAGGATGAACAAAAAATTAATAATTAAAAACAGTTCACAATAGGTGACAGGGAGGAATTAGAAGGGGCAAGAAGTGAGAGTTCTCCTGGTATACTTTTTTATATACTTAATTTATATTCAAATAAAATTAAATCTAGGAAAGAATGAGATGTACATGAAATGTCGGAGGCTCTGTTTGAATGTGGTGTTCAGTAGCAGTGGCAATTTTCAAAGTGGGGCTAGTTGATGGTTCTCATTTTTCTCTACTGGTTTTGAGGTCATGCTTGAGTTGGTAAGCAGGATCAGGGATCAAGAAGAATGGCCCAAGAATATAGAAGTTTTCAGTCTTTAGACTTTTTTTTTAATTGTTATTTGGGTAAAAGTTTATAGAGCAAATTCATTTTCCATTCAACCCTTCATACACATTTTGTTTCATGACGTTGATTGCCATACCCACAATGTAACAGCTCTCTTCCTACTTCCTCCTTGTGGTTACCTTTTCCCTGTGTCCTTCTTTCCTGTTCATTCCTGCCCCCTGAGCTATCCGTCTGTACAAATGCTGCCCTTCTGATCTCCCATGGCTGATTTTCTAAGGAGTGCACTTCTCTGCGTAATTGTTCATCTTGTAAGCCTGTCTATTGTTTGGCTGAAAGTCAAGCCATGGGGGAGTGAGTTCAATCCCAGGCCCAAAGGGTGGCTAGGGGCTATACTCACAGGTTTCACCAGTCTCTATCAGATCAGTAAGCCTAGTCTTTTTCATGATTTTGACTTTTGTTCTACATTTTTCTTCCACTCTATCCAGGCTCTCTAATTTTGATCTCTTTCTGAGTGGTTGGCAGTGGTAGCTGGCCACAATCTAGTTCTTCTGGTCTCAGGGTCATATAGGCCTTGGACTAATTGTTTCCATGTGTCTTTGATTTTCTTCACTCTTCTCCTGGAGAGGAGAGACCAATTGTTGCATCTTAGATGGCTGTTTTCAAGCTTTTAAGACCCCAGACACTACTCACCAAAATAGTATATAGAACAATGTTTTTGTGCAGTATGTTGTGCCAATTGAGCTTGATGTCCCCCATGACCATGGTCCCAAGCTCACAGGCCTAGTGACTCATTCCTTCAATGTATTTGGCTGTGGCTCTATTATATAAATGGACATTCTTATATAGCACATAAAAATACGTATGTAGAAATATTTGTCTGCCAAATTTATATATGTTGTTGTTATGTGCCGTTAAGTCAGACCCGACTCATAGCAACCCCTCCTTGGGTTTCCGAGGCAGTATCACTACAGGAGTAGAATGCCCCATCTTCCTTCCAAGGAATGGCTGGTGGGTTTGAACCACCAGCCTTCTGGTTGGCAGTCAAGTACCTTAGCCACTATGCTACCAGAGCTCCCCCGTTTGCCTACACATACCTAATCATTTTGCCTGTCTACCCATGTATCTGCCATAGGTAGATAGTGTGTTAATGTTTGTTATTATTGATAAGGCAGTATTTTGTATGTTAAAGTATTTATCTTTGTTTTCTGTACCTCTTGGACATCTCTCCCTGTCTTCTTTTTCCTTTGCATTAGTGTGCTGATCACTCACTTTTGGTATATTGCCTTTCCCTTCACCCAAATTAGTTCATATCTCTTACCTAGCTAGCAATTTTTCCTCTCCTCCCCTCTCATTCCTGTTAAACAAAAAAGAAAGTTTCCTTCTATGTGTAAACCTTCCCTTGACTTTCTATGATAGTAGACTCATACAGTATCTGTCCTTCTGTGATTGACTTATTTCACTCAGTATAATGTCCTCCAGGTTCATCCACATTATGAGGTATTGTGACGATTCTTCATTATTCTTTAGTGTTGTATGGTATCCTACTGTGTGTATGTAGCATAGTTTGGTTATCCATTCATCCATTGATGGACCTTTAGTTGTTTCCATCTCTTTGCTATTGTGAACAGTGCTGCAATGAACATGAATGTGTATGTATCTGTTCATGCCCCAGCTCTCACTTGTTTGGAATATATACCTTGTTGTAGGATTGCTGGGGCAAGTGGCATTTCTATTTCTAACTTTTAAAGGAAGTGTCATACCATTTTCCACAGTGGTTGTATCATTTTATGGTTCCACCAGCAGTGTTTGAGAGTCCCAATCTCTCCACACCCTTGCCAGCATTTTTATTGTCTGCCTTGTTGAACTTTACTACCATTGCTGAGGTGAGATGATGGCTCATTGTTGTTTCGATTTGCATCTCTCTAATGGTAATGATCACAAACATTTCTTCATGTGCTTGCTGGCTGCCTGATTATCTTCTTTGGTGAAGTGTCTATTCATGTCTTCTGCCCATTTTTAAATCGGATTGTTTGTCTTTGTCTTTCTGATATTAAGATGTTAACGTTTTCTATAAATTTTAGAGGTAAGTCCCTTGTCTGATATGTTGCTGCTGAATATTTTCCCCCAATCTGTTTATTCTCTTCTTACACTTGTGGAGAAGTCTTTTGATGTGCAGAAGAATTTAATTTTTAGAAGGTCCCAGTCATCTAGTTTATCTTCTGCTGTTTGTGCTTTTTTAGTTATGTTTGATAGTCTATTTTGTCATGTATTAGGTCAGTCTCTAGACTTTCAAAAGAAAAAAAAATAGACAAAGGACAGCTTGTTGCAACAGAGGAAGACAAAACAACTGCTCACACAAAAACGAACTCCAGATGGATCAAAGACTTAAATGTGAAACCTAGAACTATACAGTTTCTCAAGGAAAATTTAGGCTCAAAC